ATGTAGAAAGTTCCGTTCGTTCCCTTGCTTTTATGTTTTCTGTTAGGGGAGCATTTTAAGGTAGCAGACTTAACTGGTCTACCATCAACAAACGCCTCGCTTTTGGATGAATCAACAGCTGTAGCTGAAGCAGTTGCACTGGCAGTAAGAGCAACAAAAAGACATAAGGTTCCTGTTTGAAGTCTCTTTTTTGGCACCTTACCTTGACCTACCTTGATTTACTAAGTGATTTGCAGGCTCTTCTCGATCCCTACTTACATCCACAAAATATCGATGTAACCAAAACACGAGCTGGGTCAGAAATAAAGCTATAAACCCAATTTCTAGCTCAACTTGAAAATCGCATTCCAGACCTCTAGAGATTGCTATCGGAGAGCTCAACTTTGATTCTGTTAATATTGACAAGGATGTAGCAGCAATTGTAGTACAGTACCCGGATACTGAAGGAAGGATCCGCAACCTGGAAGAGCTTGTCGCAAAGGCTCATGAGAACGGGGTGAGAGTTTATAAACAAAAGATGCAGAAGCAATTGTGCTGAACATTTGTGCAAAGGATTATCACTCAAATGATTTTTTTTTCGCTATTTGCACCCAACATTTCTCTCGAAAATACATATAACTGCATGTTTTCCGCTCTAAGTTTATAATGTGCACTTATTATAATTTACTAATTGCACGTTTTAGGACACTTTCAAAGAAGTAACAAGTTTAGTTTTGAATTACGTAGGCTTAGCTGGAGATTTCACTCTACAGAACGAAACTGTGAGCTTGCCCGATTTTTTGAAAATACGTTTAGCCTTGAGCGACACTGTAATAGTCACGAGAGGAATAGAGACTGTAAAGGAGCAGCAACGGAAGAGCTGCCTTATTTCTCCTTTCCAATCGCCAATTGTTCCCTTAAATAGTCATACTCATATAATGAGGATTCTAACATGGGGCATCTGTGATAAGCCACCTTGACCCTGAAACTACTAATTGTTTCCTTATTATTCAGACACTGGTTGTGTTAGTTTGCGATCTGATGTCTCTGACGCTTTTAAAATCTCCTGGAGATCTTGGAGCTGATGTTGCTGTCGGAT